AAATGAAACCTTTTTGCTGCGTGAAGGTAAATATAACTTGAAGAATTTCGCTGTCCTTACCAACCTTCAGATGGTCGGTCTGGAACGGCAGGTCGTTTTAAATTGTATAGAAAGTTGTGTATTGCACGAATCAAAGTGCTATTTTGAGAATATAACCTTTCCAAAAGGAAGTAGTGGTATAATGTGCCAAGGGAAGGATGCAGCTATTCACATAAACCAGTGTGAGTGTTCAGGAGGGTTTGTAAGTTGTGAGGATAGTCGAGAATGCAACGGTGGACCAGGGTGCATAGCAGTCTCTCTAGGAAAGCCGGTTTGTGACCGCACTGACAAATTTGGGGATCCAGGTTCCGTGTCCGGTGTGGCTGGCTTTCCAGGAATTCTGATTACGTATGGAAGCTATGCTCTTATTGAAAACTGTGTTATTCAAAACTGCGGAGGTGGAGGTGCTCTTGTAGCTTGTGAAGGTTCTTACTTGGAGGTCAGAAAATGCGAGATTCTCAAAAACCATCAAGCTGGTCTAGAAGCACGGGAAGGAGGTCAACTTTTTGCTTTTAAAAACAGGATATTTAGTAACGGTTACCATGGTATTTTAATTGGTCCGAATGCAGGAGAATGTGGTGTCAATGAAAACAAAGTATTTGAAAACGCAAAAGAGGGTATTTTTGTCGGTCGCACCGAACACAAGATAGTTGTGAGAAATAACGACGTCCATCACAACCGCCTTTTCGGTATTTCTCTGGAGGAGGACCCTTGTCTGTTGGTTAGTAACAACAGAATATTCGAAAACGGATTTTGGGGAATTCATGCCCAGTTACGAACATCAGCGAAAATAACCAAAAATGTTATCTCTGGCAACAAATGTGGTGGAATTTTTATTAGAGTAAATTACTCTGGACGAGTTTATCTGCACTCAAACATCGTTCGAGACCATAGTGGTCCATGGCTATTTGGAGAATATGCAAAGAGAGGTGAGTTTCCCATTGAAAATGGCCTCCTGAGCGATACACCTCCTCCACCAGGGGAAAAGAATATTTATTGCAACCCTCCTATCCTGTATAGAAACAAAGAATTTAATAACAAAGAAGGTATATATCACCCAAAAAAGGTAGTTGAGCGGTTACACGATGTCTGTACATTTTGTCGTGGCTCAAGACATAAAGAAAAGCGTCTCATTAAGTGTTCAACTTGTCAGATTGCATCATATTGCTCAAAAGAATGCCAAAGTCGGCACTTCCATGCACACGAGGCATTGTGCAAAGCCCTAAAAAGTCGTTATTCCATTACGTTCGATGAAACATCGTTACGCCGGAATCGGTGGGCGCCAATATATGGTATCCACGTAAAAGGCAGTGGAACAGGCCCTGAACTCAAACTCAACAGTCGCGAAAAATTCATCATCAAGATTCAAACCCAAACTCAGAACGGTCACCCAAAGCAGTTGCTCCATGTTTATGACCAGAGTCGAACTCTTGAATGCGACATTCAGAGCCCAGAAATCTTTAACATAATAATGGAATGCGGTGTCCTTGGAAGTTTCGATAAATTTACAAGCAAAAAGGTTTTCTTCTGGGCATCTTTCGCTGAGGGAGGGAAGAAACTAACAATTTACCTTGATCAATTAGCTGAGTATCAGGAGTGGTGATAGAGCAAGGCATCAACGTTCTTTAAAAGGAGCGTAAGGTTGCTCATTGCAATAGACATTGCTTCAGTAGAACTGCAGGTGTTTTTAATGGGTAAGGGGGGCTTTGGTGGCTGTGTTGTGGTTTTTTTCTAAAGCTACCCGGATGTAGTGAGTGAAGATCATTTTTTATCAGAAAATACACTCAAACAGCAAAAAATACGTTGAAAAAGAAGAGCCTAGCTGCATTGGATTTTGACCTATTGCGACCACAAACGCCTCCGTTTATCTGAAAATTTCTATCTTAGTTATTCACAAAAAATAGCCGTAACATAAAGTAACAGTAGGTAAACGACTTTAAGAAGGTATCCAAGCAATCGTGATCTCCCTGGGAAAGTTTATGGTTCACGGATAGTTTAGTTTACGTAGTAGTAGCGTGGTGTTACTAGACCCGTTAAACACTATCTAACAATAACTGCCAAACAGTTATAAGTACACAAAAGAAAACAATGAAATAGGAGTATAGTACTGTGTATAGGTCTACTCTCTTTTTCACGGGTAAAAAGGACAATTGCACGAAAACGTCATTTTATTACAACTACCAGAATCCTTCAGTTTGTTTTTTTTTTCTGTGTAAATTAAGGCTTATTGTTTTTTAAGCCTCGGCAGGTTTTTCAAATTTAAATAAGAAAGCAAAAACTGAACGAATTCTAGTAGTTGGAGTCAAATGTCGTCATCGTGAAAGTGGCCTGTTACAATCACTCCATTTATTACTAACATTATTATTAAAGAGTACCGAAAGTTACAGGCTCTCTTAAATACTTTCAAATTGATAATTTAGGCTAGCTTAAGCGGCCTGTTTACAAGGAGAGAAGGTTACCCTAGCAAGCGGGTTAAAGTTAGCTGCAAGCAGGTTATCCTATCACCCGGGTCAACTTCACAGCTTTACTGACGTGTTTTGTCATGCGTGGCATTCTTTGTAACGTCCAAGGTTTGAAATATAACTTGAAGTTCTCTGCAGAAAACACGTTAAATTCATGAAAAAACGGGAAATTATTATCATCATATACAGAAAATACCTTATATTGTTCAGATCTTTATAATTTAGCTCAGAGATTGGATAATTCGGTTCAAATTGTCAAGATTACTGGTCACGCATGACTGAGAAAAGCTGTCCCGAGAAGGCGAGTTATCCCTAACAGAGCTTTTACAAGGCAGGTAGGGCAACCCTCTTGCCTAGGTAACCCTAGCACCAGGGTTACCCTTCCTCCTTGTAAACAGGACCTTAGTTTTGAAACAAACAACGGTGTAATCTAAAAAAAAGGCCATACTGTAAAGGAGTTATTTAAGAACAGACAATGTTTCCTATTGTAGTTGTCACACAACAACTGAACTAACAACCTCATCTCCAGTGCTTTTCCCTTAGAAAATTCGAGGCACGTCAACCGCGGAAGTAGACCTTTTTCATTCATAGGCAGTGGTTTCCTTTTCCGCCAAATCGTCTCTATTAGAGTAAAGAAACTTAGCAATACAAATTTGGTAGCGTCAAGTCATATTTTTAAAGAAAAGGCCTCACTTCCGGTTGACGTGCGTCGCTCAAAAACGCTTTTGCTTCCTGTTTTTTCAACCGACGTCAAAGCGGCCACGCTGGTAGGCAAAAACAAATAACAAATTCTGCAAGGAAAAATTTTAATGCTTTGTCGATTAAGATGACCGCCTTGTCACGTGGTTGAAAACCAGCAATAGTCGTCACAGATTTTAATCCCTTACATTTTTTCGGGAGACATTAAAAATTGTAGCAGCTAGGTTTCTCATATCTAAGGGTAAGGAGTTTAAGATCCATGGTCTTACTCTCATAAAAGAACGAAGCATTTGTTCAAGTCCTGAGTGTTCGGTAAAGAAGTCATCGTCGAGAGAAGACCGGTAGAATATGAGTTCACAACGGAAATCAGTGTAGGACGCTAGTAAAACTGTTAGGTACAGAGGTATTAACAAATTCTTTCTAATCTATATTGTAATGTTAATAACTTAAT